CACACGCACACACACCCACACACACACACACACACACACACTGGGGATGGACCTCGCGGCAACAGTAGTAATGCTCAACAGGAAGGCAAAATGAAGGATCAAGAAAACAAGTCAGCTAAAAAGAAAATAATAGAAATAAATGTTAATGTGTGTGCCTGTGAACGTGATTACCTCTGCTGTAGTGTATGGAGTTTGTTGACATTACGCCCACAAGCTATCCTGGTGTGTGCAGCACGTATGGTCAGGTGACCACCTGGTGTGCAGCAGTGACCAACATAGACGCTGAAAATGAGCACGACCAAGAACAGGCTGAGTTGGTGGCAAAAAAACGCAACGTCTATTATATGGCGACACTTTGGATTCAGGTACGGTGACACTGAACAGAAAGACGTGCTGTGTAAAACTTGCAAAGTTGAAGTTGCCACGTCCCGCAGCAACACGCCCAATCTATATCAACACTTGAGACAGCACAGAGAAAAGTAGGAAGAATGCATGCGAGAGAAAACCGGGCCACGTGACATTAAAGACAGAGAGACAACTGAAAGCCACCAGAGCCTCATAAAACAACAACAAAGCACAGTTACGCATACATCTGTAAGTGTCACGCCATATGACAAGACCTCAAAGAGACACAGGGAAATCACAGACTCCATAACAAACTATATTTAATTATTTTCATTTTAAATTAAATTAAATTAAATTAAATTTATATACTTTATTAATCTCCCTGAGGGGAAATTCAATTTTTTCACTCTTTTGTCATTAACACACAGGTCCGAAATACACACACATGCACAAACAGGACCTATACATGCCCAAAGTGGAGAGATGTCAGAGTGAGGGGACTGCCTTGGTCAGGCGCCCCGAGCGGTTGGGGGTTCGGTGCCTTGCTCAAGGGCACCTCGGCAGTGCCCAGGAGGTGAACTGGCACCTCTCCAGCCACCAGTCCATGCTCCATATTTGGTCCGGATGGGGACTTGAACAGGCGACCCTCCGGTTCCCAACCCAAGACCCTATGGACTGAGCTAATAACAAATGAAAAATTGGGCAAAATTTTGCTTGGGCTTGGCCCACTTGACATGCTGCAGTGTTGTGCAATGGCCTATTCACATGCTTGTCATTTACGTGTCTGAACGCCTGAACGCAACACAGGCTCTGCTCCGCTGTGTGTACTATGCCGTGCTGCGCTGCTATGGGAGAGCCGTGTTTGACTGTGCGTAACAGCAGTCTGTTGACGGTCATTTACACACTGTCCATAACAATAACTATGTCAGGCCAGTGCCCCCCTAATATAATGGTAGGGGAACATTTTTATCAAATCGTGCAGCACTTGTTTTAAGTCACCACATGAATACATCTAAAACACTCATCACATTAAAACTACTGGACAGGCACATCACCTGTAGATGATTAATAAAATGATTTCTGTTACAACATTAATATTTGCTTGGTCAATTCATGTGAATCAAACGCGTTCAAAGACACTTGTCTACTTTTAGTGCTTCCAACCTTTTTTTTAATAAACTCAGTCAGATTTGAGTCTAATTTGAAAAGCAGTTATCGATGATTAAAAATACTTCCTCTAATCCTGGTATAAATGTAATTCTTTGTCAAGAATTACTAGCCCCTCTTTAACACTGACACTGGAAAATGATGTATTGTGTTACTAAATATCACCCTGGTGGAGACATCTGTGTAACTAAATATCTGATATACAGTACAGGCCAAAAGTTTGGACACACCTTCTCATTCAATGCATTTTCTTTATTTTCATGACTATTTACATTGTAGATTCTCACTGAAGGCATCAAAACTATGAATGAACACATGTGGAGTTATGTACTTAACAAAAAAAGGTGAAATAACTGAAAACATGTTTTATATTCTAGTTTCTTCAAAATAGCCACCCTTTGCTCTGATTACTGCTTTGCACACTCTTGGCATTCTCTCCATGAGCTTCAAGAGGTAGTCACCTGAAATGGTTTTCCAACAGTCTTGAAGGAGTTCCCAGAGGTGTTTAGCACTTGTTGGCCCCTTTGCCTTCACTCTGCGGTCCAGCTCACCCCAAACCATCTCGATTGGGTTCAGGTCCGGTGACTGTGGAGGCCAGGTCATCTGCCGCAGCACTCCATCACTCTCCTTCTTGGTCAAATAGCCCTTACACAGCCTGGAGGTGTGTTTGGGGTCATTGTCCTGTTGAAAAATAAATGATCGTCCAACTAAACGCAAACCGGATGGGATGGCATGTCGCTGCAGGATGCTGTGGTAGCCATGCTGGTTCAGTGTGCCTTCAATTTTGAATAAATCCCCAACAGTGTCACCAGCAAAACACCCCCACACCATCACACCTCCTCCTCCATGCTTCACAGTGGGAACCAGGCATGTGGAATCCATCCGTTCACCTTTTCTGCGTCTCACAAAGACACGGCGGTTGGAACCAAAGATCTCAAATTTGGACTCATCAGACCAAAGCACAGATTTCCACTGGTCTAATGTCCATTCCTTGTGTTTCTTGGCCCAAACAAATCTCTTCTGCTTGTTGCCTCTCCTTAGCAGTGGTTTCCTAGCAGCTATTTGACCATGAAGGCCTGATTGGCGCAGTCTCCTCTTAACAGTTGTTCTAGAGATGGGTCTGCTGCTAGAACTCTGTGTGGCATTCATCTGGTCTCTGATCTGAGCTGCTGTTAACTTGCGATTTCTGAGGCTGGTGACTCGGATGAACTTATCCTCAGAAGCAGAGGTGACTCTTGGTCTTCCTTTCCTGGGTCGGTCCTCATGTGTGCCAGTTTCGTTGTAGCGCTTGATGGTTTTTGCGACTCCACTTGGGGACACATTTAAAGTTTTTGCAATTTTCCGGACTGACTGACCTTCATTTCTTAAAGTAATGATGGCCACTCGTTTTTCTTTAGTTAGCTGATTGGTTCTTGCCATAATATGAATTTTAACAGTTGTCCAATAGGGCTGTCGGCTGTGTATTAACCTGACTTCTGCACAACACAACTGATGGTCCCAACCCCATTGATAAAGCAAGAAATTCCACTAATTAACCCTGATAAGGCACACCTGTGAAGTGGAAACCATTTCAGGTGACTACCTCTTGAAGCTCATGGAGAGAATGCCAAGAGTGTGCAAAGCAGTAATCAGAGCAAAGGGTGGCTATTTTGAAGAAACTAGAATATAAAACATGTTTTCAGTTATTTCACCTTTTTTTGTTAAGTACATAACTCCACATGTGTTCATTCATAGTTTTGATGCCTTCAGTGAGAATCTACAATGTAAATAGTCATGAAAATAAAGAAAACGCATTGAATGAGAAGGTGTGTCCAAACTTTTGGCCTGTACTGTACATGTGCGTACAAAAACACAAACTCATGAAGCATAACAACCAAAGTCTTAGCCTTACCAAGGAGGGGTGGGAACGGTGGAAGTTTGGGCAGACGGATGAGTGCCACCACTTTGCCGCCAATGAGTGCGCAGATGAAGAGGGTCGTGATGCCAAACAGGTTTCCTCCTGGAAGACACTCATCCTCTGTGATAGACCAGACCACTCCAAAGAGCACTGCTGCCAAAAGGACTGGAGACGAGAAAGCAGGATGACGTCAGATTATAAAGTAATGGCATGTGTCACTATAGTGTTTGTGATGACGAGGTTATTACATGTATTTTCTAATCGTGTCGTAATTGTCAACCTCTCAAACTTCTTCAGCAGTGAGTAATGTCATAAATAGGGCTACTATGACCTCATTGTTGACTGGCTGCCTGTCTCTGGATGTTGATTGTAATGTGAACATGAATGTTAGGATTAGTGTGGGTAATCATGCATGCATTTATTTATGTACTACCTCGGTGATTAATTTTTAAATAGTTCAAAGCATACAAGACATTAATGTCATCTGATGTTTGTCACAATCTTGTGAGAAAGAAGGAATCGACATGCAATACATTTTCCTGTGTAGGAAGAACAGACTGTATAGTGTCAATGGATGACATGACAGCTCCCCAAAAGTGATGCCAAAACATCTCAATCTCCCCCTGGTGGCTGGCTGCAGTATAGGTCATAAAGCCCACACCCTTCATGCTAGTGGATGCGACATGGGCAAACATAAAAACTCAAAGTACATGTTAAATAAATTTTTTCCAGAGATGTTTTTTGTCATTTAAGGTAGCTCTAATTATACTGATAAATGTTCTAGTGTTTGTTTTACTGGTAAATTTGTTTATCAGCAGTTATTTGATAGTATAAAAATAGGTTTGCCGTCATGAATGACAGCTGTGTGTGCCAGTCAAGTGCTCACAATCAATGGCGCTGCTAGCTACTGGTCAAACAGCGGGAACCTAATACACTGGAGATCGCTGCTGCACAGACTGGCTCTAAATGATGTCACCTGCGCAATATGGCAGTGGCGGTATTTGGGATATTTTTGCCGGAAGTGGAGACGCATTGTCAGTCATTGGTAGGAACTCACCAAGCCAACTACAGAGCCCCTCCTTCCTTACCTTTAGTAATGAGAGAAGCCAGAAGGCCTCTTGGTGGACACGGGCAAAACCTGTGGAGCAAGGGGCAGCAGACCACTGGCGGGTCTGTGTTGGTGCCCGCATCCGCCACAGGGTTTCGAGGAATAAAATAGGTGGTCTCCTCGGTGACATTTGGAGTGGAGCAGCGCCGTACGACTACCTGGATCTGGTTCACATTAAGGTGCTGGAGAAGGAAGATCAGAATATGCACAATAGGGTCAGTCATCACATTTGTCTGTTGGACATAATGTTTTACTTGATGCTTTAGCGCCACATCTGTAACGGCAATCAATGATATAAGAAGTATTTTTGCTGTGCAACCTGTTTTTCTGTTACAGTTATTGATATGTTGTAGCATATTGTTGCTGTAATAGTTTTTGATGCTTTTAAAGATCACTGTTGACAGCAATGTTCAATGCAGTGCATTCACTGTATATATTAATATTCATGCCTTGTGGGGCATCTAGAGCACCAGATCAGAGACGTCACACTGTCACAAATACGAGTGCCTTTCCTGTGTAAAGACTATAAAACTGTGAGTGAATGTCCCTGTAGCCTCTTTAATCGTCGAACCCTTATTAAGTATCGTGCTCTATCAGTATTGTTGACAAAGAGGTACGTCATATCAGCAGATTACAGGCCACTGTTTCTTGGCATACAACAGAGTGAAGATATGAACTTCCTGATTAATGCAACTCCCAGAACACCCTCTTTGTCACATTGCTCAGGTGGGGACGTTGACTCAACATTTTTCAGTCTTGCCTCTGGCTGCTTTTTAATTAATTCTCACATTAGACTAACAGCAACAAATGACGAATAATTTATCTCAGGTGAACAATTAATTTTACAAGGTTAGAGAACAGTGAAACATGGAGGAATTAACACAACACAACAGCATAATGTGAGGCAAAGAAGCAGAGCCGCATGACAGCAAGCACATCATTCATATGTAGCTTAACAATTCTTATTTAGTGAAGTTTACAAACACACTTTTTAGTTTTACCAAGGCAGTAAATACTGAATATAACAACCAAAGTAACTAACAAGTAAATTCTTATTAGTAAAGTACTATACCTCCACATGGTTTGCTGAGGGCAAAGCAATTCTGTCCAGCATGGGGCTGGGTGCTGGGCTGGGTGCTGGGCTGGGCGCTGGACTAGGCGCTGGACTGGGCTCCGGCGTAATAGGCTTGGTCTGTGTGTCCTCCATGGCAACTGGCTACAGTATTTCTGGTCCACTCACTTCTCTGTCACAGTACATCAAGCTGAGGGGTGGGGTTGGCCATTGATGGGCAGTTCCTTCACTTCTGCTTCTGTATATCCAGCTCTGACTGCAGACTCCTATTCATACAACAGGGTTTTATCAGTGGAGAAAACAAACGATTGTTTGCTTAATAAATAATGGAGAACAGTGGTGTTGGTACAGGTGTGGAAATTGGCATGGCATGAAATGATAAAATTAATCTCACACACAAGCGTGTTTTTCCAAACATACAGGCTTTACAGTGAAGATCTCAGTTTTAAAGTTGTTTCATTTGACAAGATGTGTTAATGCGAGAAGGAAAACTAACCAGGCTTCAAGGCACATGATTCTTGTCTATATGAAGATCTCAGGGGTGTCAAACGTACTGCTCGCAGGCCAGAATTAGCCAGCCAAAGGGTCCAATTGGGCCCACTAGATGACTTTACACACCTAATATTGATACACTTGTGAAAGCGAAAAGGTGCCAGGTTTCAGGACCAAGTTAAACAGTGAAGCCTCAGAGCTTCAGAGGATTTTCCATGCTGACCAGGATTCAAGTTCAATGAAAAAACAATGAATACTTATTATGGTCATACTTAGGCATTGTAGTTTGTGCAAAAATATTGTCAACCAGCAGCTTCAGTACAAAAAAACATGTTAAAGGCCTCTAGCGTTTTTTCTCTTGTGGACGAAGGCATGTGGCCACACCAGCGTCATTTTTCAGTGCTCAGCATTTTTTGTGCAGCTACTGAAAATGCTTTAAGTTGAAAATCTCTGAACTTTTCAAAAAGGTGCCTGTGATGGCACTGCCACTTCTTTAGCAAGGCTACTGTCCACTGTAACAACGCAGAAAGAAAAGCGTTTTTTTTAGGGACAGATTGTCCAGGAGACACTGAATGTTGCTGGTGTGTGTTTTGCCTTCATCACCATTAGTTTTGTAAGCTTCAAGTTGACTGTGTCAACCCTAGCGTTGTGTTAGCTACCTGGCTAATGTTAGTGTCAAGATGTTGTTGTCATGGAGACAAAACCCACAAAAAATCTATGTGGACACAGGCCCTAAATCAGACTTCTATCTTAAAGGTCAAGTGTGTAAGATTTAGGGGGATTTAATGGCATCTAACAGTAAGAACTCCAGACACCAACCAGCTGAAATTTCTTGTGGTTAGGATTCCTTCAGTGTTCATTGTTCAGGATTTTTTTTTTTTACCAGGAGCTGAATTATCTGCAGAGAGGTTTCCTCCTCTCCAAAACAGACAGACCAGGGTATTAAAACCGGTGAATAAAGCAGTTTCACATAACAAATTTATTCTCATATGCTGTTCGGCTTGTCAGAGACAGGCCACTAGCTTAGCACCTGCTAATGTGTGCTCATCTTTTTTCTCTCTAACTTAGGATCCAGACATTTGGGAGGTATTTACCGGGAACCAAATTATCCGCAGAGGTCTCTTTCTCTCAAACACCAAACAGACCCAGTGATTTAAATCAGTAAAAGCACTGAATAAAGCCTTTTCTCATTAAAAGGTCTGTGTTTGTCCAACACTGCTTATCACGGAGGGGCTTTTAACTACACTGGCTGATGCGAAACAGCAACTGGCCCTATCTTGAGCATGATCTAGAGCAGTGGTTCCCAACTGCTAAGGCGTCCAGATTTCTCCTTAGTCATTAGTTCAAGGTCCACACAATTTATGATATTCAGTGTCATAACTGCATTTGGCCATGTAGTCGAGCTAGTTTGCTGTCTCTGTTAAGGAACAACTAGCTTGACTACCTATGCACTCACTCTGCCGCAGGAAATGGGACTTCAAAATAAAAGCTTTGTGTCAAAAAAATCACAGTACTTTAAAATAAAGTGTGTGTGTGTGTTTTTTTCCATACTTGACACGTTTGCAAGTCACTGACGTCCATTCAGAATGGACCTACGACCGTCTTTTGGACCGCGACCAACCAGTTGGGAACCACTGATCTAGAGCCAGTGCTTGGTTTGTCTGCTCTGGATGATGATCTGCTCCCTACGTAGATATAAATGTCTCATTAAAAGGTAACAAAAAACACAATTCTTATTTTCAGGTAATTATAAAAAGAATCCCCCTAAATCTTGCACATTTGACCTTTAAAACTTAGTTGAAACTCAATTGCCTTCACTTTAATTTGATGTGGTGATGCAGAGTGGAAATGTATGGAAGGAAAATGCACATGTAATGACAGTGAGCAGTAGACTGACTAAATGTGGCAAATCTGAGACATATTGATGAAATCACACTTTCTTTCCTTAAGACATCTGTTGTGTAAAAGGATGAGTGTTTTCACAATGTACTTCTTTACACTAACAAAAGGAACAATTTGAAGTGCTGTTATTTATAGGGTCATTATGCAATGGTTTCACTGCTCCAGTCCACTTGAGATCAAATTGTTCTGTATGTAGCCCATGGACTAAAATGAGTTTGACACCACTGATCTTGCAGGCTAATGTATAACCACATGCTGCCTGTGTGTTCACATTGCATGTCACACTAACACAAGGTGACTGACCTGCAACTCATTACAAAGCACAGATACTAACCTTTGTGCTCCTCTCTTTATAGCTTCACTTCAAACCATGTTAGATACAAACGCATACAAGTAACCAGCTATTTTACATCACACTGAACTGACGCTACTACAATGTTTTGACAGTTGCTTATGGCAACAGACGCCGGTTAATCCACTTGCTAACAGACCACACTAATCAATGCTTACAGCTCGACCATATGGCACACCTAGCTAGCTAACGGATGGTACCGCAAGTAGGTTAGAGTTAACTAGCTACTGTCAACAACATAAGTTACCTATCCAACTGGCATCGGTACACACCCATCCAGCCAGTAAAGCAAAGCAAATGTTACAGGTTGTCCTGGTGTTTGCTTCAAGGTGCTGCCGAAGCGGCGCAACGTTACACACGGAGTCATAGCTGAATTAGCTAATTAGCTAACGTCAGTGAAGAAGTAAATCCACGCCTCATGATAAACCGTGTGCGTGAACCCATTATCGGACAAGAACACGGTGTCACAGTAGCGTCAGCTAACTCAGGCTAATACCAATATTACGTTATATTAACATTTCCGTTTAAAATATTAGCCTGTCATGTCGCTGTTGGCCGATTTACAAAACCACGTTAGCTTAAAGTTAGCGTCGGAATGTTGCATCAGTGCTTTCAACCGTAGCCGTTATCGTTAGCTTAAATTAGTCCGCGGCACGAGCTGCTTTAGCGTTAAACCCGACCAACGTACGCTAACGTTAGACGCCTTTAGTGATAAACTGACTCGGCTACCGACGTTTTAACCACAGTTTGACTTCCTGCTCGGTCACATTAAAGTTTAATCGATAATATTTTGGAGGGAAGTCATGTCCGATAATGGACTCCTCGCCGGTAGCTGGCTGTGTGCTTCTAACAGCTGTCAGTGAACTCTCCACACCGGCTCCACATGCCCGGTAGCTAGCTACAGTGACCGCTCCTGGCTCCACTGTGGGGGCTCCCTAAATGTTTAACGTTATTAAACAAAGAAAAAGCAGCTCACCTCATGTCGTAAACATCGCTATTGCGTGAGAAGTTTCATCGTGCGGCGTTTCTGGCAGTCATGAGGCAGATAGAGCAGCTGGGAATTGGGAATGAGGCGGATTAGTGATGGCCAAGCATGTATGTACAGCACAGGAGTGAGTGCTCGGTTGGGGGGGAAGTTAGGTCAACCACGAAAGCCACTCAAGGGTATTGGTGAGGACATTTTAATAGATATTTAATTAAACCCATTATCAGACTGCTTTATAAAATATTAAACAACAGATGCATTCATAATAAACTGATAATAACGCCTGCACACTGTAGCTGTGATACAATTTATTTGCACACATTTGCAGCATACATTTAAGTTGGAAAATGGGTAATGTCTCCCACAGAATCAGTAAACATGATATGCAAAATCAAAACATGATCAAATCAAATGTTGTGCACTTTAATATAGAAGTCTCCACCACTGTCAGGATGAGCTTGCAGCAGTTTCCTCACAGTGACCATCCTCCATCCATGATGTGCTCCGTGCCGGTCACATAGGCAGACTGCAAAGGGGCCAAGACAGATCACATTACTGGGGGATTATTTCACCACTAATTAACAAGCAACAACTTTGTCTGCATTTGTGACGATAGAATGTTAAAGTTACTTTGGGGTAAGCATGCATACACCCTGACACAAAGCCAGGATGTAGGAAATACTGAGGTCACAAATAGCTCTCCCTTCTAACAAAAACTTCACAAGACACCAAATCTTTGGTTTTAAACTGTGAAAACTTAAAAATGTTCAAAGACAATGTCTGTAAATTTTATTTCCTGTCATGAGGAGCATTCTCCACATTGCCAGGAATACAATTCTGGTGAATTCTTTATATAATAGTATATTTTAAAGGTCTAAAAGTGGTCTAAAAAATACAAAATAGTTTTTAATGTTGACTTGATTTCAAAGCCCTTCAAATGTCTAGAACAATCACAAAGTACCAGGACCTATGTATTTTCAACAGCAGCTAAAGCCCTGCAAACTCTGCCCTAGTGTCTGTATGACATGGGCCTACCCTCTGCAAGCACTCACCTCATCTGAGGCCAGGTATACGCACAGGTACGCCACCTCTTCGGCTGTGCACATTCTGCCAGTTTTCTGTCGTGCCATGAAATCCTTATAAGCCTGCGGAGTTAAGGAGGGAAAGAGTTACACTTGTAGCATTCATTATCTCCAATACCCAGGATTTCTTTTTGTGGAAACTGAGATAAGATGTACTTGTTCAGTGACTCATGTGGGCATTACTGTCAGATTAAGACTGGAGAAAATGACAGGGTAAATCAGAGCCTATCGTACCTGTTCTGGGTCAGGTTGGGCCTGGATCCTGCCCCTCAGTGATGGAGTGTCAACAGTGCCTGAGGAAATGTAAAGAAGCAACCATGACTTTCTTTTAAAACCTCTATCATAACAAAAATATTGAATAAAGAAATATAGAAACCATTTGCTTAATTTAAAAATTTTTACTGACCAAATAATACACTTTAAGAAATAATTTGGTCATTTGTCAGGTTTATGTATTTCAATTACATTACAACAAAATAAAATAAGTTAACTGTAACTCAAATAATTTAATAATTAATTAATTTATTCTAATAAAGTTATAAATTCTGTGTATTTCCAACATGCAGATTAACAATTTTTTTCAACATAATTTTGACCAAATAATTCATTTAAAGGAATAATTTGGTCATTTGTCAGTTTTACTTATTTCAAGTACATTAGATTTCCATCAAAAGCAGGGAAATTAATTTACCAAAAATCAGAAAGTACCATTTATGTAATAACATAAAATAAAATAAAATAAAATAAAATAACTATAGCTCAAATAACTTGCCTAATTTATTCTAACAAAGTTTATGTAATTACTGTTAATAAATTCTGTGTATTTCAAATGTGTTGATTAACAAATTCTTTTAACATAATTTTACTGACCAAATAATACACTCAAAGAAATAATTTGGTCATTTGTCAGGTATTTAAATTACATTAAATTTCCATCAAACTGAGGGAAGTCAATTTACCAAAAAACAGATAGTACTATTTATGTAATAAAATAAAAATTAAGTTAACAATAGCTCAAATAATTTGCCTAATTTATTCTCACAAAGTTTATGTATTTACTGTTAATAAATTCTGTGTATCTTAAATATGCTGATTAACACACACACACACACACACACACATACATATATATATATTTTTTTTTACATATTTGTATTCCTTTTTTTATAAACAACATATAAACAGCTATATAGCATTACAGAAGGAAAAAAGCATACAAATGCACAAGTATACACACATATACAGATAACTACATACACACAGAACCTTTATAAGAACAGGCAGTTGCAGAAGATAAAGGCCTAATCAGGGCCTATCCTGTTGTGATCAGCTACAAGATGTAATAATAATAATAATAATAATAATGATAATAAAATGGAAAAAAAAGTATAAATAGATGTGACTTACTTCAGATGGAGTTATCAATAAAGTGGGGGATTATATTTGAAATACATAGAATTCATCAATAGTAATTAGTTACAAAAGCTTTATTAAAGTAAATTAGGTAAATCGTATGAGCTACACCTGACAGTAGACCAAATAATTTCTTTGAGTGTAGGTGTGACAAGGTTCACTTCAGGTCTCGACATTGTACAAATGTGTTTGCAGTTATTTAGACTAGCTTTGATAGGGGACAAACTCAAGGCTTGTATATCTTTGAAATACACAGTGTCCTCAAACAAAAAAAGATTTTTTTCTATAACATCGGTTCATTTTGTTGTCAAGGACATCCAGTCTATATCTGTTAAAATGCTGAGGAATACTTGAGGAAGAGTCAAAGCAAGTTTTATTTTGCAGGTTGTTCTAAACTTACCAGGACAAACACAGTTACAGCGAATGCCTTGCTCGATGAAATCAGCTGCTATAGATTTGGTGAGCCCAATCACTGCAGCCTTGGAGGTGCTGTAGACACATCGTTTCACAGTACCTGTGTTGAGGAAACACACGCAGAGCAATTATCTGAGCTAAGAGGATTACAATGAACATGGTCATACTTCGACAACTTAATGTCCCTTTAATTGGGCATAATATTTGTTCTACAGTCTTATACAGTGAAAGGATCTGCAGACGTTCATTCACCTTTTATGCTTGATGCAACAGATGCCATGTTAATAATGTTTCCTGACTTCTTTGCCAACATCTAAGGGGACAAAAAATGAGGAAGGTGGCATATAAACAGAATATAATAGATAAAATGAAACATACAATTATGCAATGGTCATTTTTATGCAACAAATAATTGGGAAATGTGCTATGATCCGAGACAGTTTGGTTAGTTTGTGGCTAAAGCTGGATTAGTGATTGGTCAGTCGCCGCCCATCATGCCACAGGCTCAGAGTAATACAGCTAATCCCAGCAGACAAAGAATGAGAACAAAAGAAAAGCATATGTCACTCAATTTACAGCAGCACTTATTTCATTCTCTCAACAACAGGATGAGCAGTGTTAAGCATTCGGTAAAGTGGGCAAAGGTCACCTTAGGGAGGAAAGCCTTGCACATGAGGTACATGCTCCGGACGTTCACGTTCATTGTGAAGTCCCAGTCGGCCTCCTCGCAGTTCAGGATGGAGCCGTGGTGCACAAACCTGTGTACAGTAGAGGACATGGGAACTCAGATATTACAAAGGATGGTATCACATGTAATCATCAGCTTTAGCTAAGAAGTAAAAGACCTCATATGTCAAGCATGATCAAAACAGAAGAGCATCAGAGTTCAATATGATATAGGCATTATTAAAGGGACAGTTCACCCCCAAATCAAAAATGCTTACCCGTAGTACTTTTTTATAATCTAGATTATTTTGGTGAGAGTTGCAGAGTATTGGAGATATCGACCGTAGAGATGTCTGCTTTCTCTCTAATATAATGGAATTAGATGGCGCTCAGCTTGTGGTGCTCAAAGCGCACAAAAATACGTATGAAAAACTCAACATCAATGTCTCTTTGCAGAAATCATGACCTGGTTACTCAAGATAATCTGTAGACTTTGTTGTGAGCAGTTTTATGTAGGAACTATTTTCTTTCTACACCCACCAACTGTATCACTGCGCAGAAGGATGTGTGCATCTACTCATGGATATGGACGTTAGCTAGCTCAATGGTTCTAGGTGAGAAAACAGTAGATGCACGCTCCCTTCTGTGCAGTGATACAGTTGGTGGCTGTAGTTTGGTACAAATAAAATAGTTCCTACATGAAACTGCTCACAACAAGGTCTGTGGATTATCTTGAATAACAGGGTCATGATTTCTGCAAGAGACATTGCTGTGGCGTTTTCCAAATGTATATTTTTGGCGTTTTGAGCACCACAGGCTGAGTGCCATCTAGTTCCATTATATTCAAGAGAAGGCAGACATCTCTATGGCCAATATTTCAAGAACTTAGTAACTCACACCAAAACACTCTTGACTGATAAATATCACTGCAGGTAAGAGGAAAAATATGCATTTTTGAGTTTAAGGTAAAACTGTTCCTTTGAACTGAAAATAGATGCGGGTCCAAATGCTGCGTTAACTCCCTCTACATTTTACTGAGCCTTAAAAGGTGTCAATTTGGAGACCTTTGTTAAGGAGATTGGCAAAAGGTCAAGTAGAGGTTAAACCTTGAGGTATAGGGATTTTGGAAATGACGTTAAGCAGGGGATGGATAAACATGCTTAATGTGGAGACAGCTTGCTGGCAAAACAAGTAGAACAACTATGCATTAATGCATGTCAAAGAAAAGGCTGATGATGATCTGTGAATTTGTTACTGATAACAGTCTAATGGAAAGACAAAACCAAGAATGTGTTGGTCTCTTGATACTTTCAGTCTTTTCCAATGGAAATGTAAATCTTTAAAAACTTAATGAATATAAAGCGTCATTTTCTAAAACATATGGGCATTGTAGTATATAGCAAATATTACTAAAACAGGAGTACATAGGGCATTTGTTGTGGGCTGTACATGTTTGTGGATTTGGTGTGCTAATGAACATTTCAGACAAGTGCATGGTGCATGTGGGAACTGACTAAAATAAAATACATTGCCTATTTTAATAGGTAATAAAGGAACAT